CAGATGTGCCCGTAATTACACTCAATTTATGCAAACTGGTTCAACTCCTATTCCATATCGCTTTTGGTTTGTTTAGAAGTTTAGGCTAGTGTTTACATATKTCTATGCAACTCTAGAATCCTAAATAAATCAAGCTYCAACTTACATTTAACGGGTAAGAGAGCCTATGTCTAGGATCTTGTTTTAGTTCTTATTTCTAAGTAACTTCCCGTTTTACCTTGATGAGATTCGTTTGACTCTAACCTTTTCAGAATTAAATTCAAACTAATGTGATTTAAACAAGTGGCCAACAAGAAAATCAACCTGATAAATTGTATCAATCAAGATAAGCAAAGAGAGTGTAATACGTCGTGCTCACTGATAAATGTAATTTAAATAGATGAACTAAACTCGTAGGAGGGTTGAAGAAACAATTTGCCTACTCATGGAATTGAAAGAAATTAAAGCACAAGAGAAGATAACAAAAGAAAGCATTTTAATTAGAATAGGAAAGAAAGTACAAAATGGAACAATTGAATTGCAATAAAATAAACAAGAGTAATTGTAGAAAAATAATTGAAAACAAAACTTAAATAAAAACTACAAAACTAAAGTAGAAAGGAAACAAAAGCATGGAAAATGAGATGCCTTGAAGTGATGTTTAGGAGCTCCTTTTATAGACCATGAAGGTAACAAGATGTTGAGAAATGCATGGGAGGTTGGAACCAGATGAGGTTGTAGAGATTTTAGGAACTAATAACAAATCTTGGACCAATTACTTAGTCAAAAGTTGTTATTCCCGTTTTGACAATCTAGGCATCGAATGTGGCTGAAGCATTGTGAAGCTTGAACTTTCAAAATAACTTGGCTGGCTCATTCCTYTAGTAAGCTAGAAATTCTGGTTCTGCAATGTGTCTGACGCATTTTGATCATCAATCTTCACTTTTCCTTACAAAATAAGCATATTTACACAAATTAGCCTTCATTTAGCTATAACTGAATTCCAAAGTCCCTAATCACAAACTATGCACATTTTTCATAAATTATATGCTTGAACTTACATTTTTCATCATAATTAACTCACAACTAAGCATGTAAAACTACTCTTTTTAGCCTTTAATCAAGTCTTATTATAGGACATACCAACATGTGGCAAAATTTAAGAGAAGTTTGGTCAAACTCTCTTTTCTGTAAGGTCTTATCATCAAGACTTGAGCTAATTTTTAGAAGTTTCACAAAGGGCATAAGTTTGAGCAGCTCGTGATTTATGTAGATCAGCTCCCTAAGTAGTGATGCACGAAGCTAGATTTTGCAGAAGCTTACTGATAAATGCTTTTCCTTTGGGCCTTGATAACCCAACAATCGGAGCAAGATATTGAGGTTGGYGTGAGCTATCTATTGGGAGCTTGGCGGGAGACGAGATTAGAAGCTTGTCTGTAGACGAGTTGTGGATGAGCTTAGGAGCTCGGATGAGCTTGAGCTAAGTTGGGTGCTTAGGAGTTTGAAGTTGGAGATCGACCTAAGTTGGGCGCTTAGGGTTTGACATGCGTACTTTATGTTTTGGTGCCCCCATTGAGTGTAGGTCAGCAACTCTTAGGTAGGGTGTCGTGCTTGCTTGAACATGATYTGATGATGAGAGTTCATCCTTAAGACAGAGTGGAGCTATGTTGTGGTTCTTTTTTAGGCCAAGGTGACCTATCTCACGTGAGCTTATCATTTTGATCGAGATGAACTGTTTAATGAGAGCTCACCTTAACTAAGATGAGGTATCGGCTAGAAGCTTCTTCTTTAAGTGGGGGTGAGCTAACTGATGGAAGTTCTCCCATTGGTTAGGGAAGAGCTATCAAATGGAAGTTTTTCCTTTAAACGATCATGAGCTCATCTAGAACTCTATCTTTAGTTGGGGATGAGCTATCTCTGAGATATCTCTGATCCAATGACCTATCTCATGAGAGCTCATCTTTTGAGTTGATGGAGGCTCATCCTTGAAGGGAAAGTCATCGTTTAAGTGAAAGTCATCCTTTAATTGCAGGTCATCCTCTAGGTCAAGAGTGAGGGCTTCCTCGAGGGGAAGGTCATTCGCAATGATAAGGTCTTTMTCTTAGAGTAGGTCTTCCGGGAGAGAAAGTCATCCTCAAGGGTGAGGTCTTCCTCGAGGGGAAGGTCATCCGTAGTCATAAGGTCTTTCTTTTGGAGTAGGTCTTCATGGAGAGAAAGTAGCCATCAAGAGTGAGGTCTTCTTGAAGGGAAGGACATCCGCAATGATAAGGTTTTCCTCTTGGACGAAGATCTTAAAGAKCTTTGGAGGTCCACCCGATTGCTAGGAGTATTAGAGCTTTGAGAAACTGTACAAGTCATAGCTTGGTTTGGTAGGAATGACTTAAAATTATCGATTCCCACAAACGGTGCCAACTGTTTATGCACAATTCTGCCATTGAGGTCGGCCACATGGCAACTGACCGAGCTAACGAGGTGTGATCTTATGCAAGGTAAGACCTGCAAAAAGAAAGTAAACACTCCAACGCTCAAATCAGTATAGGCGCGAGATCAAATAGGTCATTCTCGGAGCAGAATTTCATACCTACTTAAGAGAAATGAAGATAATTTTATAGGCAGAATGAAAGGACACGTTCGTTATAGTCGTTACGACAAGGCGGTTAGATGTCAGGCCATAGGTCGGCAATGATTGAGGTCGGCTATGGATGAGCTTAGTAGTTTGGCCATGGATGAGCTTAGTAGCTCAGTGGTTGGTGAGCTAAGGAGCTCGGTCATAGATGAGCTAAGGAGCTGGGCCATAGGTGAGCTAAGGAGCTCGGTGCTAGATGAGCCAAGTAGCTCGGCCATAGGTGAGCTATGCAGCTCCATCATAGGTGAGCTTAGGAGCTTGGTGGTATATGAGCTAAGTAACTCGGTCATATCTCGCCACGTGGTTGGTCATATTTTTTCAAGCTAAGGAGCTCGACCATAGGTGAGTTAAGGAGCTCGGCCATAGGTGAGCTCGGTCATAAGTGAACTAAGGAGCTTGGTGCTATGAGCTAAGTAGCTCGGCCATAAGTTAGCTTAGGAGCTCGACCATAGGTGAGCTAAGGAGCTCGGTCATAGATGATCAGCTTAAGAGCTCGGTGGTAGAAGAGCTAAGTAGCTCGGCCATATCTCGCCATGTGATCGGTCATATTTTTGTCTCCAACACCTATTATTGTTATTTTGAGTAGAAAAGGATAGTTGATTAATGAAACTTTTTATTAATAAGATCATGACGGTATATCGTTTTTTTATTTTATTATCATTAATTTTTTTATAGATTGTGCACAATGAACTAGAGCTTGTTTGAGAATGATTTTAGGAGTGATTTTAACAAAAAAAAAAAAAGATTTAATGATAATTGATTTTGTAAAAAGTGAGTTTTATATAATTATTTTAACATTTGATTAGRCACTTTTTCAGGTCATCATTATTTCATTTTGAATTATTAATATTTAAAGTTTAAAGAGAGAATTGGACAAAATTTTTAGAGAGAAAATTTGGAGAGAAAAAAATCTTAGAATAGAAATTCTGGAGGGTGAGAGACAATAATTTTTAGGTAGAGAAATAAAAGAGATGTGAACTAAAAATTTAGAGAGAGATTACAAAAATTTTAGTGAAAAAAATTTGAGAGAATAAACAAAACTAAAGATAAATAAAGTTAAAGAGTGACAAAAATTTTAGGAAAGAGAAAAAAATTTCTCTAAGGTAAATAGAATGACATTTTTTAATATTAAAACAATAACCATTTTAAAAATATTTTTCTATTAACCTTTTCTTAAAAAAGTAATCTTTGCACAACATTCTTTTATTTTAAAATGGAAATGATTTTAGCATGAATTAAACATAAAAATGATTCTAGCAATGCCTAAATCACTCTCAAACACGTGCTTAGATCAACTCTAGTTTTCTCATGCAATTTTTTGTACAATGGTCTTTGATAGTGCAAGTCRGTGGGTATCACCATCAAGTTTTCCAACTGTTCTGTTTCCCTATAAAATTATGTGTTTCTAAAACATTGACAACGTTGTAATCTTGAATATTATTGACATCAGTCGCTAAAATAAGTTTTAAGGAAAATAAATAAATAAATTATAAGTCTTTGATCTCCGTATTTGGTTGTAACGAGTTGACGTTATATCTAATAAATTATTGAACTTACAAATTTTATCTAATAAATTTGACCAATTAAGTACTTTAATTAAAAAGTTAGTGATTTTTTAGAAACGTTAGAAACATATTAGATATAACGAAAGTTTAATCTTTTAGAGTTTAATGACCTCTAGATATGACTTGAAAGCTAAGGTACCAAACTTTTTTTCTTTGAAATCACTGTTTTATATATACACGTCACAACTAATTGTAATTGATTGTTGCTATCCTTTTTTGTGTAATAGATTTCATTAACCTTGCTACAAGTATAAATTTTCCACTAATAGAATCATAGGACAATACATTTAAGTCATATGAATTTTCCTAACCCATCAAATAAATAACACGATTGGATTTACAATGTTAAGAATTGAATAAGAAAGCTTGGTTGGACTTAATACAATATGTCACAAATAGAGCTTATTAATAATATAGTCTATCAATATATAGAGTCTATTACTGATAAAACTCATATATGCAAGTGATAATTAACCTCATATATATTACTGATAAAACAAACATAATTTCAAGACTATTTTAATCTTTTTAGTAGATTTTTGGGCTCSTTTTTTATTTTGTAAATCCAAAATGTTATTGTTATATTTTACACTAATGGGACTTGTTTTGGCATACACGTAATTTTTTTATTAGTATATTAATATGTGGGATTAAGATTTGATCCCACTAGTTCATATATACTGCTATGCTCAAGTTTTTGTAGCCGAAAGTATTTAAATATGTAGGAAAGCGGTTGAATCTCTTATCGGTTTTCTCGATCGTACTTCGTATACTTGTAAATTTACCATATATATATATATATTATATACTTGGAGTTTACTCAAAATATGTATAGAAGTATACATTCACTTCCATCGCAATATTTATCTCTCTCAATAAAGAGAAAAGTACAGACACAACAAAACTCAAACTGAATGACTAAAATCTAGACCAATTTTTGGCCAATTCTATCAACTTTTGATGATATTCTTGTGGTAATCTTTTTAGTTAACTGCAGAGCAAACTTTGCGAATTTCACCCTGAGACCCAGTCTTGACCTCAACGTTGCCCAACTTGACCATGGATTTCCCGAACTCGACGTTGAAGGTGAGACCCAAGAGGCCTCTGAGGCCGAGGAAGCGCTGGACGAAGGTGCGGGTCGAGGCGTCGGTCCACAGCATCTGGTCCGACTCCAAGATCCCGCGCCCGTTCATCAGGTTCGAAAAGAACGACGTGTCGAATCGGCTCGCGCTGCCCGTGTCCAGTGCCACTCTGCGGGAGCCGTCCCCATTTTGAGGGCACAGCGCTTGCAGTTGGCTCAGGAACGATGGGTTTATCGTCGGGTCGGCGCCGTTCCCCGTCGTCGTGAAGTTGAACAGCCTGTAGCTGAAGAACTGGCATGCTGTCGTTCCGATCGTGTGCCCACCTAATGATATACCAACCAAAAATATTTAGTATTGACCCGTTCGCACTTATTTCACTATTACAATTTTCAACAAATAGGAGAGATAAATGTAGAAAGAGCTATTTTGTTTTCAGTTTTTCAAAAAAATCAAAGAACCGCGGAAAAAAATAATAGTATAGATCAACATGAAGATTGGTGATAAACTAATTAGCACTTAAGTTTTTTTTTTTTCTTTTAAATGTAGTTTATATTATTGAATCGAATTACCAGATTAGTTATTGTTATTAGGGATACTACTATCAATGAAAATCTAGCAAGATTTAGAAGATATATAATCCACTCCTAACTGTCAATTAGTTTTAAAATAGAATTTTATGAATATTAAGATGATATTAGAGCTTAAAAAGCTCAAACGAGTATTCCATTCTAAAATTGAGTTGAATGAGTTCAAAAAATATCACCATTTTGAGAGACCATGTTAATTAAAAATCTATTAGACATAAAATTGAAAGTTCACCAATCTATTAAACAAGTTTTAAAGTTAAAGAGACCAYCGAAAGTGAAATTTTAGAAATTTATTAGACCTCTTTAAATTTTAGAGATTTTAATAATATAAAAAATTGAAAATTTAGGAACTTATTATATACAAATGSTATAAATGATGTASTTTAATTAGCTAATTACCAACAAGAGTGACAAGGTCTTGGGTGTTGAGACCCTTGTCACTGAATTTCTTCTTCTGAACATCAACTGAGTCTGTGAATCCAGGCAGGTCATTGGCCTCTGAAGCCACTGAAACTGTACCATCTCTTCGTCCAGTGGGCACTCCCCAACTTATCCCACTTGTCTGCAACCAAACAAAACAAATTTCAACATATTAATAATAATAATAATATAACTCATTTTCTATTAAACAGAACTACAAAAACCATCCAAAAATATGCATGCATGGCCTACCAAAACCACAGAGTCACGGGCAGCCAGTGTAAGAATGTCAGCACAAGACACGACGCCGGGGCAGGCAGCTTCGAGCTGCGACTTGGCATCATCGATCACCTCGAACCCTTTTAGGGAAAGGTTGGGCCCGGCCGTTCTCTCGGTATCGGAGCCCGCAATGAGGACGGAAGCATCGCAGCCTCGAACGAAGCAGTCGTGGAAGTGCATTCTCAACAGCCCAGGAGCGRTCGTGGGGTCGGATCGAAAGTGGGACTGGACGGTGGACCGAATGATGGACTCGACTCTAGGGCAAGAGGCAGAGTAGAAGCCAATGCGGGTGCCCTGGGCATGCACGGCGGTGGCGGTGAGACCGAGCAGCACCGTCACGACCGACACAACAAGAACAAGCATTGGGTTGAAACCAAGTTTGGCCATTGGAACAGTAGAATGGAAAATGGAGTGTTTTGTTTATGGATGAAGTTATTTGCATGGCAATGAGGAGGAATTTATAGAGAGTGGGAGTCAAAATTAGAGTAAGAAAAGCCGGCTGAAGAGGATGGGGTACAGCGATGCAACGTTGTCGTTTTGGGGTTTGTGGAGATTAGTCAAATAAATTGATTTTTATATTCCGCGTGGAGCGGAGGGAACGGGAAGCACTCATTGGAATATGACAAACGACATGTCGGATCTTTCCACGTCATCTTATCAATTAATTAATAAATCTTCATTTTATAGTCAAACATGCACTAAACCTAGTGAAGCATTTTAGTTTTAAATGTTTGATAATAATTTATTTTAATGTTTAATTGGTTTTACAAATACTTTTGACTTATTTCAACACTATTTTCATCTTATTTTCAAACCTAATAATTTTAACTCCACTCTACCCATATATATTTKAACAAGTTTTCAACTATCTATTTTCATGAGTAAATGTTAAATTTTATTGATAATAAATTTAGTACATAATATAATACTTAATGAGTCGATAAATATTTGTACGAGAAACCCCACCTACAGGAAGAAAATTTCTAATTCCTCTTCTAAACGTTATAAGTTTGTAGTCATTTCGATTTTTTCTTTTTAAATCTTTGGTGGCACTAATACCCAATCATCTAAAATTATGTCAATTCATGAAGCTAATATCATGTCATATAAATTTATCTCCAACCAATTTAAATATTTTGAAAAATRTTAAAACATAAATTATTAAAATTAAAACTCTTCGAGTTTAAACGAGTAATTCAGCCTTTTAAATAACAAGTGTTTTGGGTCATGTGTCAAAGTTATCCACCAAAACATAGTCTCTCTTGSTGTTTATATGGCGACTCAAGAAATAAAGAAAACAATTTAGGGTCTGTTTTAATTAAATGTGCTTTGCTCTAAAATGGGTTTATATATATCTATAAACACTTCTTAAAAAGGTGTGAATATTTAAGAAAGAAAGCTGAGGTGTTTTATCTATGGAGGTGATYTATCGACCAACTACRTGGTAAYATTTGGAATCGACAGCTACTAAGATGATCAAGGTAGTTACTTTAAGTGGATTCAACAAAGTTAAGATTCTTCGGCTCGRCGTTTGAAAGTCGAACCACATTTTATTCTACATTTCTTACTGACCTATGATAGGTACGAGTCAAGGTTAAAGAGTAACCGAAGGAGCATAGGTAGTAGACATATTCTCTGACAAGAGAGCTTGTCTAAGGTTTTCGAAAGTCCTATCAGAAGCTCTACCGAGAACTCGCCTTTATAAATAGAGTCTCCCATCTCTCATAAAAGGTACACGAAATATATTATTCTCCCTTGAATATTAGATCGAATTATATACTAATTAGAGCGTTAGAGTGCTAACTCTATTTTACAGGTCTTGTACTTTGGCGCTGTGATACATTTCTTTTACCAATGACTCTCAATTCGTCTCATTAATTCTTTAATACGTGTTTCTTAATTCACTAATCTCTCTATACTCTACGTATATTTTCTTTCACTGACTTTCTTTTTTTTTTACGTACTTTCTTTTGACTTGTCTTCTTCACACCTTTTGACAAATTACACACATTTCTCAATCACTAATGTCTTTTATAACTACTTTTCTCCCCCTAAAGTCTTTTTTGTACCTAAGTTTCTCTCACTTCATTTTAAAAGTTTTAATTGTTTCATTTTTATAATAATTTATCAATTCTATAAATATTTGTTAGGTAAATATTAATCCATGTTATCATTTTAAATTTGAAGTAGTATAAAAGTTGATATAATTTCAAATTTCGACTTTTATTTAACTGATCAATCATATTTTAATTAGTTTATAGTTTCAGTTTTTTTTAAAGTACAACAAATTTAAAGATGATGGATTGAACCTCCGACTTTTAAATAATAAGGAGGGTGACTTAACCATTGAGCTAAATTCATATTTTATAACTTACGTTTACATGTGTTTTAATATTTGAACTCCTTTAATATATATATATATATATGTTTTCTTTTTTAACTTCATTTAACAAAACAATATATTCTAGCCACTAATTTTTTTTTTAGTTCTTTTAATTTTTTTTCTATTAAAAGAGATTAGAAAATGACCATCTTCTCAATAAAATGAAAGATGTCATCATGCAACTACTGTATAGAGAGAAAGTATGTAAAATATCTCCCCTTTTTTATTCACCTATAACATCTTTATCTTTATTTTACTTTTCTTTTCTTTTCAAAATTTGTAATTTAAAGAAATCTAGAAAATAATAAATATAATATATTTTAGTTAGAAAAAAARAAGGAATAAACATAATAGGTATAATGGATCAGGTATGGCTGGTCAATGTTATAAAACCATAGTTTGCATAATTAATTATTGTTACAAGTTTCCCAATCCCACATATACTAATTAATAAACTCAAATTACATAAATCAATTAATGAAACCCACACTTTTTATATTTTATACTAATTTTTACAAATTATAATCCTATCTGGCTTTGTTTTTAGTACAACAAATTGGATACTAAAGTTTGAACTTCAGATTCCAAAGAAGRAATAGGTATATAATTACTGCTAAATATAAACATCAAATCATCTTTGGCCCGGAAGGCAAATCATTCTTCATCGCATAAGCCCATGACAAGTCATTTCCATATACTTCTTTCGGGCGGGGTACTATTGGCCGGGCATGCGAGACGACGTTGCTGAGTATGCGAAGACGTGCCTAAATGGCCACGGCCTGAAAGGACTATGTCCAAGGGACTGCCGCTCGGCRCAAAATCTTTGTCTTGTCAAGAAATAGGTATACAATTATTGCCAAATTATATTTATGTGACTAATTTCTATAGTACATATTATTCTTTTATATTTTTTAAAACGTACATTATATAAATCTAAATTATCTAGGTTTAAAATCCATGAACTAAAAATTGTTAAAAATGTAGGAGCCAAGCAAAATCTATACATTTCTAAAATTTAAGAAAATCTTTCATTTGCACAATAATCTAAATACAAGTACAACATCCCAAAATTCCCAAAATGAAGATTTAAAAACTTAAATTAAAAAAATCTCTCAATAAATATAAGATAGAAGGAGATGATGGGGAAGTCCAAAAGGTGCAAGTAGTGGATTTTGTACATTTGCAACAATTACAGATTCCTGCTTTTGTTGACTCCATTTTTACTGTTGACTTTGGTCAACGAAACATTAAAAAGAATTTTCTAGTGTCCTCTTTTAATTTTTTTTTTCCTTTTTTGGATGTCTCCTCTTTTAAAATTAAAATGATACATTTTTCAACTCGTTAAGGATCCCACATTGATAAGATAAGTAACGTGACAAGTGTTTATAATAGATATGAGTTACTATTCTCATAGTCAATTGGTTTTGAGATTTGGTTTTGAGATGGAACCGTATGAATATTACTTTTAAAATATCTATTTTGATCCTTGTACTTTTTAGAAGGGATCATTTTGGTCCCTTCAAATTTTATTTTTTCTCATGTATTTCTATCATAATTTTAACATGACACTTTACTCATTAAATTTTTTGAAATGTAAGTATAAATTTTGTATTAATTAGTTTTCATTGTAAATAAAATTTGTACTAAAATTTCATAAATAATAACTAAAATAGTTATTTTTTAAATGTATAATTAATACATGAATTAAATATTAAATAAATATTTATAAGTACAATAACTAAAAATGAATCAAGCTTAGAGCATTCAGAAGCCTTACATTTCAATAATTTGATTTGTTTAGGTAAAGAGAGAACTCAAAGCCGCCTTTGTCGTTGGGCAGTGTGAACACATTCCATTTCTTTTGAATTTTAGAAAGCAATATGGCGAATTTGTTTTCGATCTTTTATTTCTAAAATTAAATTTATTAAATTACTTATATCTATGTTGCTYCATTTGTTTTATTTTTTAAATTAAATTATTAAGAGTTCTAATTTAGTCGTTATAATTTTAAAATTTTCAATTTAACCCTATGATTTGAGTTTAGTTTTGACTTAGATCTATATAGTTTTAAAACTTTCTATTTAATCTCTATGTTTTTTATACTTCATAAATCCTCCATATTGTTATATTAAATATGTAACATATTTCAATTGTGACGTTATTTATTGAATAACTATTGAATAACTATTTACTGATTACATTAGGAGTATATATAGAAAAATGTGTGAACGTGTGAGTTTTCARGTGAGTAAAAATTTTTACGAATGATTTATGAGATTTAATAAAACTATAGAGATCAAATTGAAATTTTAAAATTTATAGATACCAAATTCTTAATTTAATCCAAGCTATCGAATTGTGCACTCCTAAACCATTGAAATTTGAATGCGAATTATTAACCATTTATTTTTCAAATTTTCTTTTGATTTCCTGCTTGTAAAGTTGGTTATTTAATTTCCTAGTACAATTTGGCTCTTGCTTTTTACATAGTTAGATGTATAATATAAGATGATTTTTAATCTAGCATCTCATAATCTGACAGTTATATCGAATAATTTGCTCATGAAAATAGAATATGATTTTCAAAAATTGGCAAAAACTAAAAAAGCCAAACTCAAAAAGAAAAGTTTGAAATACGTGTAATTATAATTTTCAAAAAACAAATTTGTAGTGAGTGAAATTTAACTTTAAATTTTATTTTTCTTAAATTTAATTGTAGGATAAAATTAATATCTTCTCTTAGAAGACATCGTTTTTATTTAAATTCTATTTTATTCTTAAAATTTTCAAAATATCTATTTTAATCTTCGAATTTTTTTAAAGATAATCACTTTGGTTTTTAAACTTTAGACATGACTATTTTGAGTCTCTAAAATTTCAAAAGAGATTGTTTTTGTAACGCCCCAAACCTAAGATTCTAAGGTAAACACACTTAATTTTAGAGTTTTTATGATTGACATCGAGAAAGAAGGTGCATAGGTAGTAACTATCAATTCTTTTAAAYTTTTCTTAATTGCTTCTATAATCTCT